GCAAGCCAACATAATAAGTTTAAGTGCAATATCAATATGTTGGCTTTGCAAGCAAGCCAACATAATAAGTTTAAGTGCAATAACAATATGTTGGCTTTGCAAGCCAACATAATTATGGTTCAACACGTAAACTTTCCACTCTTGTTGCATCGGTAGTTTTCCTTTGAGATGGAACACTCAATAAAACCTACACACCATGGCTTGTAGGTGTAGGGGTATGATTCTTGCTTTGGGTGTGAGAGGTCCCAGGTTCAAATCTCGGGAGAGCCCATTCTATTTTATGGTTCAACACCTAAATTTTCCACCAAATAAAATTCACCCTCCATGGCTTGTTGGTGTAAGGGTATGATTCTCACTGTTAGTGCCAGAGGACCCGGATTCAAATCCCGGATGAGCCCAGATTTAATTTTGGTTCAACACCTACATTTTCCACCCATGTTGCATCTATTGTTTTGTTTCCATATTGCACTCCAAAAAAAATCTTAACACCATGGCTTGTTGGTGAAGGGGTATGATTCTCGCTTCAATCCGAGAGGTCCCATGTTCAAACCCAGGCCAAGCCCATTTTATTTTATAGGTCAGCACCTAAATTTTCCACCCTTGTTGCATCTGTAGTTTTGTTTCTAGATTGCACACCAAATTAATTACAACCCATTATGGCTCCTTGGTCTAGGAGTATGATTCTCGCTCTGGGTGAGAAAGGTCCTGGGTTCAAATCCAGGACGAACCTATCTTTAATTATGGTTCAACACTTAAATTTTCCACCCATGTTGCATCTATTGTTTTGTTTCCATATAGCACACCAAAAAAATCTTAACACCATGTTAGTGAAGGGGTATGATTCTCGCTTCAGGTGCTACAGTTCCCGCGTTCAAATCCCATAGGAGCCCAACTTTAATTGTGGTTTATAATGTGGTAAATAAGCCCATCTTTTTTAATGGTACAACACTTAAATTTTCCACCCATGTTGCATCTGTAGTTTTGCTTTCAGATGGAACACCAAATAAAACAAACCCTACATGGCTCGTTGGTCTAAGGGTATAATTCTCGCTTTGGGTGCGAGACGTCCCAGGTTTAAATCCTGGAAGAGCTCATCTTTAATTTTGGTTAAACACGTAATTTTCTCCCATGTGGCATCTGTAGTTTGGTGAGATGGCACACCGAATAACACCCAACATCCATGGCTTGTTGGTCTAGGGGCATGATTCTTGCTTAGGCTGTGAGAGGTCACTGATTCAAATCCAGGACGAGCCCATCTTTAATTATGGTTTAAACTTAAATTTTCTCCCATGTTGCATCTGTAGTTTTGTTTCCACATGGAACACCAAACAAAAGCCACCCTCCATGGCTCGGTGGTCTAGGGGCGTAATGCTCATTTTGGGTGTGAGAGGTACTGGGTTCAAATCCTGGCCAAGCCCATCTTTAAATATGGTTCAAAATGTAAATTTTATCCCAAGTTGGATCTGTAGTTTTGTTTCCAGATGGCTCATTAATCAAAACCCACCCTCCGTGCCTCGTTGGCCTAGGGCAAGGGTTTTAAACAATATCAGCCGATCATCCATCCTGTCGCAGTTATCTGCAGATTCACGGATTCGGTTTTCTCTGCTCAATAGCTCGAGACCAGAATGTTCTTAGTAAACAAATAATACCTATTTTTAATCCGTGTTATGTAGCGGACAAACTACAGAACATTTTTTCCAAAACATGTTTCCCTCTGCATTCGCAGAAACACATTACCGTCTATGCGCAACCCGCTGACATGGAATCGCTTAGGGACCGTCTGCAAATGACCAGATCCAAAATATGTTTTACCCAGAATATGCTTCATAACTTCATTCTAAATCACTCTATTACAACCAAAATCAAGCAACGCGCCACTCCTCACCTGCATACTGCACTGCACGACTCAGTTTCAATAAATATTGAAATTTTTATAAGAGCATCATTTTTATTCTTGATTATTTGGATCAAAGCTCAATTGTTCCCATAAAAATCACTCTATTACCATCAATTCATATCACACACAACTGTTCTAATGATTCAATTCAGTGCAAGTCATCAAATTAAACTCACGTTATTACAAAAAATGTAAATTATTAATTATTATTATTTTTTTTTGTTCTTTTTTTTTCTCTTACACACGCATTCACCCAAAGACACCCCCCTCTACATGCACACTCACACACACACACACACACACGCACACACGCACACACACATACACCCATACACGTCCAAGAACTGCTGGTCGCGTGTGCACAGTCAGCAGTACCTGAGTAGGAGACCCCGCCCCACCCAGAGCGGACAACCCCCACAGCTTCCAACCGGTCCCCGAGCCACCACCCACCACCAACCCCCACCCGGCGGGCCCCGGCCGCAGCACGGAAGCGGACAGGACCACCACCAGGCGGCCGCAAAGGCAGCGGCACCCGCGAGCACGGACCCCAGAGGCACCCCCACACCGCCCAAGAGGCTAATCCGGCCACACACACTCCCTACCCCCCCACCCCCGGACCACAGAGCCCCCCGTCCCCGCAGAAGCAGCCGGCACCCGGCAAGGCAAGAGCAGTAGCACCCCCGGAGACGGGACCACAAACTACATGCCGTCCCAGAGGAGAGGGCAGTCCCACCTGAAGCACACCCATCCAAGAGCAGGAACTGGTTATCTGTTGAGATCCTCTAACTAAAATTCAGAGGAATAGGGGCATTAACAAGAAGTGACAAATAACAACTTTTTATGTGAAGGCAGACAACATTTCCGGGGTGAGATAGTTTAATAACATGTTGTTATATTGAGTGATGATTAGTTTCTTTTTCGTTTTCCAGTTCATAAGAATGGTTTTCTTTGCTACAAGCATAACAGTGAGAATTAATAGTGATGTGTTAGCCTCGAGTTCTAACCGTGTACTGTCTAGGTCACCCAATAAGCACAGTGCTGGAGTTGGTGAAATGAGGTGGTTAACCCATGATGTTAGCTGACAGCAGACTTCTTGCCAGAATTTTTGCACTGGTGTACAAGACCAAAGAGCGTGTAGATAGTGGTCAACTGTATTGTTAGTGCAGTGTTGGCAAATGTTAGTGTCTGAGAGACCCATCTGGAACAATCTTTGACCTGTGTAGTGAGTTCGGTGAAGTATTTTATACTGTATTAGTTGCAAATTTGGGTTTGTAGATGCTTTAAACGTGTTTAAGCATATCCGGTTCCAGAATGGTTGATTTTCATTTACAGATAACTCTTCGTTCCATTTAGTAGTGGGGAGACATACAATATTGTCTGTTTTTAACAGTAATTTATAGATTTTGGATATTAACCTCGGGGTTGTCAACCCAATTAATTGTTCAATTATTGTGGGTAGCTGCAGAGTCATGTGTTGTTGATATTCTAAAAATTTGTTAGTTGGTAATCCGTATTTAAGAACCAAATCTTCAAATGAAATTATTTTGTTGTTGACAATTATATGTTTAAAATGTGTTATTCCATTATTTTGCCAATTTGGAAAATATACTGCCCTTTTGTTTAGTAAGAAGTCTGGGTTGTTCCAAATTGGTGTGTGCTGGCAAGGAGCAAGCGGTGAGCCCGTTATCTTAAGAAATTCCCACCAGGCTGTCAGTGAAGTACGTATGCTGATATTCTGAAAGCAGTTGTGATGTTTAATCTTAGAGCTTATAAACCGTAAATCTGCTATCTTAATTTCTTTGCAAAATGTCTGTTCAATGTCGAGCCAGGTGAGTTCAGTCGAATTAGAATTAATCCATTGGTACAAGTGCAGCACTCTATGGCATAGGAAATAATGGTATACGTTTGGCAGCTCCAGGCCACCACAGTCTTTGGATTTCCTGAGCTTGTGTAAGCTAATGCGTGGAGGTTTGCCTTTCCATAGAAATCTGGAGAAATGAGAGTCCAATGATTTGAACCAATCCCGGGACGGCTGGTTAGGAATCATTGATAACAGATAATTAATTCTGGGCATGACCATCATTTTAATGCTGGCAACCCTTCCCATAAGTGAAATTGGCAAGTGTTGCGATCTTTTGAGGTCATCCTTTATTCTTTTAAGTAGAGGTGAGTAATTTAGTTGTACCAGATCCGACAGCCTTGGTGAGAATTCAATGCCAAGATATTTAATACTCCCCGAATTAAAAGTGGTGGAGAAGGAAGGGTTCTGAAGAACCGTGTTGAGTGGCATAACTGTTGATTTCCCCCAGTTTACAGAGTATTCAGAGACAGCTGAAAATGATTCAATAACATTAATAGCTGCTGGAAGAGAGAGATGTGGATGAAGGAGAAATAATAACACATCATCTGCATAAAGACTTATTTTGTGATGTATATTTTTTGTACTTATTCCAGTAATTTTAATGTTTTGCCTAATTGCTTGCGCCAGTGGTTCAATGAAAATAGCAAATAGTGAGGGAGAGAGTGGGCAGCCTTGTCTGGTTCCTCTTTGAAGGTTAAATCTAGATGAAGTTTGTTCATTTGTTCTAACTGACGCATTCGCAGAGCTATATAGAATTTGGATCCATTCTATAAAAGAGTTACCGAATCCAAATTTACGAAGTGTTGCCATTAGAAATTTCCAGTTAACTCTATCAAAAGCTTTTTCTGCATCTAGAGAGATAATGGCAGATTCTAGACTCGTGTTGTTTGCTAGATCAATCAGGTTAATTAGTCTGTACATATTATTTGTTGAGTGTCTACCCTTGATAAAACCTGTTTGGTCTGCATGAATAATATGAGGGGTAATTTTTTCCAGCTTTTTAGCGATAGCTTTGCAAATTATTTTTAAGTCCACATTTATAAGAGAAATTGGTCTATAGCTTGATGGCAGTATGGGTTCCTTCCCTGGTTTTAGGAGTAAACTTATGAAAGCTGAGTTCATGTTTGATGGTACTTTTCCTTCAGACTTAATTTCAACTACCATTCTGCTAAAGGTAGGTTCCAGCACTTGCCAAAACTCTCTGTAGAACTCTGCTGGATAACCATCTGGCCCTGGTGCTTTTTTATTTGGCATTTGTTGTAGAGCCTCGTGGAGTTCTGTAGAAGATATTGGTGATTCTAAATTTCCTATCTGTTCGTTTGATAGTTTTGGTAATTCCAGATTCTTTAAGAATAATTCAATTTCAGTTGGCGATGGGTTAATTTGAGATGTATATAAATTTTTATAAAATTCCCTGAAAGTATTATTAATGTCTTGGGGGTCGTGAACAAGTTGTCCATTTTTGTTAATTACTGATGAGATAGTTTGTTTTTCCTTGTTATTTTTTAGTAGGCCTGCTAAAAATTGCCACACCTGTTAGCATGTTTGAGGTTATCCAGCCGTAGTCTTTCGATTTGAAATTGAGTTTTTTTATTGATTAGGATATTCAGTTCTAATTTAGTTTGCCTTAAATCTTTCAGGATGTTTTCTTGGGGTTGTCTGTATAAGCAGTTTCGAGGGATTTAATTTTGAATTCTAATTCCTGCTCTTTCCTAGTTTCTTGTTTTTTCTTGAATGATGAGAATGAAATTATTTTACCTCGCATTACTACTTTTGCAGTCTCCCATAAAACACACGCTGAAATTCCTGGGGTGTCATTAATTTCCATAAAGGTTTCCCATTCTTTTTTAAAATAATTTATAAATTCCTGGTCTTTAAGCAATGATGTGTTAAGTCTCCAGTTTCTCCTAGGTTGTGAAACATTTGTGGTTATTGAGAAAGAGACTGGTGCATGATCGCTAATTAATATAGAATGAATGCTCGTAGAGTAATATCTGACAGAACTGAGTTATTTACTAAGAAGTAATCTAGACGTGACTGTGAGTGATGAACCGATGAGAAATATGTGTACTCCCTTAAAGTTGGATAAAAAGATCTCCAGGCATCACAAAGACCAAAATCAATCATATATTGTTTGAGAATTCTTGCTGATTGAGAGTCTTTACAATTAGCAGCTGTACTCAGCCTGTCCAGTTCTGGGTTAAGTACCAGGTTAAAATCCCCACCTATTATGAGCTTGGAATCCGAGTGCGTAGATAGAGCTGTGAAAAGGTTGTGAAAGAAAGAGGGGTCATCAACATTGGGGCCATAAATACTAGCGATGCAGTATTCTATGTTTGATATGGTTATGTTAACTATAATAAATCTCCCTTCAGGATCTGCAATAGTATTATTATGAATAAAGGTTATATTTTTACTTATGATTATGGAGACCCCTCTTTGCTTGGAATTGTAACAGGCTGAGTACGCGTATGGAAACAGAGGTGAAAACACTGT